TAGGGAAAGGGGAGCCCACGGGAATCTACACAAGGAGCTCCACAGTTTCCACCTGCTTCTCTGCCAACAACCTGATGTGGAGAAATGGGAGTACTGGAACTAAGGAAAAAACACAAGTACATCCACAGCATTGGTCTATTTAAAATAAAACACCTTAGGAGAAAGGGGAAATTCGCTATTGTAATAATGCTGTTCCAGAGTCTTAGGACTATTGCAGCACTAGCTCTCAACATTTTTCACAAATAAGGTAACATTATTGTAACATTATTCCTAGTTTATATGTAACAAAATTCAGCCAACAAGACTGAAGTCACTTCTCCAGCACCTCACAGTGATGGATGTGGGACAGACCACAAGTCCCTGAAGCTGTAAGTCCATACTGTATTCTGCAAACAAAGTTTGAGTTTCTCATCAGGACATGTGCACACTGCACCCGTGCCCAACAACAGCAGAGAAGGATGTGCCAGATTTGGGCACTCTCCAGCTCAGCCTGGTAACGATACAGTCACACCAAGGGCTCCTGTCGTGTTGTCCCGTGCACTCAGCACCTTACAGAAGAAAGGCAACATAGCTGCGTGGCCAGCACGTATGCTGTATGTCCCTCGGTGACCTGTCCTTACCAGAGGTACCTTTGTTCCATTGCCTAGTGAAGAAAGCTGGTGCTGGCTCTGAAACTGTAAAACAGCACTTCCCAAAGGAGGGTTGCGAGTCTGACACCACAGTGAGGTTTGCAAGTGGAAAAAGATCAAGAACTGCTGCTATAAAAAGCTTATTCTTTCAGATCAGGTCAATACCTGGTCTACTGCTGTCATTGTATAGCTTGAGAAGGTCACTTTGCACAACAAATTGCTATCAATCAGGCAGATTTGCCCTGAAATATATGTAGACCAGGAAGAGGATGGATTCAGCAGTGTGCAGGACAGCACCTCCAGGGAGCAGGAGAAGAAAGGTATGATCAGTTTCTCCCCTCGCTGTTCACTGTGTTAGGACAGCTGCTGCAGGCAAACAGTGGCTTACTATTGTCTCCTCAGATTTTATTCAGCTTCCTTGAACTGAAGAGATACAACCTCCTGATGACTTCAGCATGGTCATGTTCAATGCAACCAAACTGCTAAATAATCATGGCAAATGAATCACACTGGTACTGATTTAAAACCTCTGCCATTGTAGTAAAAAGTGCAAATCCCTGGGGGATCCTAATGACTCCTGAAGGCTGCCTGTGCTTGCCCGTATTCAGGACTGGGCTGTGTCAAGGGGTCATCAGTTTGTAGTTATCAACAAACCACTGAAGTTGGCTGGGCTGCTGTGGGAACGGAACTCATTTTCATTGGTTCAGAGCTCTTAGTCAAGCACCCTTAAATTGTTTAAATAGCCCAGATGGGACTCTTCGTTGACAGATCTGAATGGTTTCCTGGGGATTACGGCAGGAATTCAGCCAAGGACATCCTTTGTGGTTTTACAAAGTGAACCTTTCTGCTGAAGTCAGCAGTACCTACTGTTAGGGTGTGAGAGAGTGTGATATTATCTCTACTGCTTCTCTCCCAGCAGTCGTGGTCAAAAGGCAGTAAAAGAATTTGAGCTGAGGCTGAAAAGGAAGGTGCTAAAAGTGTAAAGTTGCCCTTACCTGCCTCCTTTATGTGTTTGTATACATCATCCGAGCCAGCGGAGGAGTACGGGATGTCATCGTGGGCTACAAAGTCAATCTGCCAGTGAACAGAAGAAGAATCACATGCCACCATCATTGAATTTTGATTCAGTGGGGGATCATTGTGGAGGACCATTTCTTTTCTGAACTTCAGCTGACTTGCTTTTGACATTCTCATCCTAAAGCGATCACCTAGAATATTACACTAGATTTAGACCCTCAAGTGCTGTGTTGTATGACCAAGTATGAAAGAACAGAAAACTTGTCTCCAGAAGCACTCTGGCTGTATGAGATTTTCTACAGAATATAAGACACCTGTTCCTGCTTTATTGCTGCTGGAAAAGCCAAGTCAAGTGGCAAAGCCTTGGCTTTCAAAACCATGGAGCCAGGCTTATTGATTCTGCCTCCTTAGAGCTGTGCATATATACATGTATACCTAGTACTGTCATGCTGTCCTTTCATCACCCAGTGATGTGGACACTAAAATACATCCTAGTTAATTATGCTTTTGTTAAGATTTATATATATTGCAAGACAGGCAATAGCACATAAAAAATTCTGTCCTGCCTTTTAGAGGACACATGATATTTTTATGTGTAAAAGAAACGTGCTTTTAATTCAGGACTTTAACAGGACTTTAGTCATTACGTGAGAACTTTGCTCGTTCATGATCTCCTTTCCTGAAAGTCAATTTGTGAATAATTCCTTAGTGTTATTTTGCCATTCAAAAATCCCACTAGAGATATTATCTCAGCATATCGAGGAAAAAAAGGCAGGACAAATATAACATTTTCGACAAAGATGGAGGCAAGCAATGCCATGTACCTAATTTCAGTGACTGGAATTAACTGAATTAAATAATTTGCTCCAGCTAATAGAATTTCACAGACTTGCTGTTTATTCTCAACTGTCAGCCTACAAAGGGGAAGGGAGAGATAAGGGGAGAAATGTACCTTATGTTTTTCAAGGAACTCAGGTGTCAGTGTCCAGGGTGCATCTCTGATGACCTCATCCACATAACGACAGTGTCTGAGGGCTTCATATCGCTCAGTTTCATTCATCACAGTGAAGCCTTTGAATTTATGAGTTAAATCATCACTGCAAACTAAAATATGGAAGTATCAACAAAATGGCTCCACACTCAGTAGAATTAGCATGACCGGGAGTTGATTATTTCCTGAAAACTCCATCAAGCACTTAGTTATGAGCTTAGCTAATTTTGGGGTGCTTCAGGGCGTCTAAGAGTTCTGCTCAGGGTTGGCAGGTACAACCATAGACTTCTGAGAGATCCTTCCCTTTCTGGAGCTGCAGCCAGAGCCCAAGTGAGATACTGTAGGGACATCTCAAGTGGTACTATATGCACATGTTGAGGTAACTCAAGCCCATTATAAGCGGGGATTTCATGGGCTGTGAAATTTCAGGGGTGATGGATAATGCTTCAAAAACAATAAAAAAGTGCAGTGTCAGCAATGACAGAGTGCTCGCAAATGTCATGTAACACAAAACGGTCAAGGCAGGAAGGAACCAGTGGATATCACCTAATCCACCCACCCTTCTCAGAGCAGTGTCAATCACAGCAGGTTGCTCAGGGCCACATCCAGTTGAGTTTCCAAAGTTGGACATCCCTCATCCTGTTCCCACTTTTTGTTCTTATGTAAACAATGCTCTAAGTGATGAATTTGCCAACAAAGCTCTAAATCACAGTAGAACAGTTTCTCGCTAAATAAACGCCGATGGAAAACAAGTCATGGCAGATTTTATAGGAATCTGTCTCTGAGTTTAGCTTTGAGTTCAGCGGGAACTTCAGCATGGAAAGAGAAGTAAGGCTTCTGCCATGTTCAAATGGGAAACTGCAGAAGGAAGCCCCATGGAAAGGACTGGGAGAAGCTGTATGCTCTAGTGGAATAAGCAAGTCCAGAAACCCTGGTACCCAAAGTACCAATACTTTGTCACATTGCTTTTAAAATGAGGTGAAGCACCACCCATGTTACCAGAGAACTATAAAAGTTAGATATTATCTTTCTACCCACATAACTGTCCTGGTTTTGGCTGGGATAGAGTTAGTTTTCTTCCTAGCAGCTGGTATAGTGCTGTGTTTTGGATTTAGAATGAGAAAAATGTTGATAACACACTGATGTTTTAGTTGTTGCTAAGTAGTGCTTACACTAAGTCAAGGACTTTTCAGCTTCTCATGCCCTGCCGGCAAGAAGGCTGGAGGTGCACAAGAAGCTGGGAGGCGGCACAGCCAGGGCAGCTGACCCCAACTGGCCAGAGGAATATTTCATACCATATGACATCATGCTCAGTATATAACTGGGGGGAGTAGGCTGGGCGGGGTATTGCTTCTTGAGGATGGGCTGGGCTTCAGTCAGCAGGTGGTGAGCAATTGCATTGT